TCAGGTGGTGGCTCAGATTGTGCTGCCGCCGCCCGCCCCCTCCCCCCGCCCCAGGCCACACACGGCAGGCCCAGATCCTGCGCTGGGGTGGGCGGCGGCTCAGGATCATGCTGCCACCACCCCCACCCCAACCCAGCCCACAGCAGGCCCGGATCCTGGGCTGGGGCAGCCCTTGGCTGGGTATCGCACTGCAGCCAGCCCCTGGCAGGACAGCGCAGCGGGATCTGCCTGCAGTATGCAAATTTAATGGCCATCTTTGTTGGGTTAATTTGCAGACTCTTCTGATTGGCTGATGAGCGTAGCAAAGGTACCGTCAATTAGCATCTTTGTCTTTTATTAGTGGAGATTACCACTCTTAGCCTCACTTTTTTGCCTTAGATCTACAATTAAATAGATGAAACACTCACCATCATTGCTTTTGCTAAAGTTTCCTTGGTCATATAATGGGTAAAAACTCATCATGCAGAAAATGCCTCAAGAAGCTTCAGGAGGACATTCCCTGAGTTGTTACAAAGTGGTTTTTGATTTTCCTTGAAAATGCCAAATGCTTGAGGATATTTCAGAGTATTGTGTAACTGTTTTCTGCTATTTAGTGTTTGGCTTTTTAAGAAAATTTTCATCAGCTGAGATATTTTTTCTTTTTATAGTGGCTTTGCAAAGAAGCAGATTGCTTGTATCTATTCACTTCATAGATAGGGTTGGCACTTTTGAGTGGTTCATAAGATTCCAAGTTTAAGAATGCCCTCTGATCTCAGTGTAGTCAAGCACGATTTCTCTTAATGGATTGTTTTTGTCAGTGCTCAGGGTCAGATGCCTTTTCATTTTGTGGTTCTCATTTACCTCACAGGATCCTGAAATTCCCCTTTTCCTATTTTTTTCTCTACCACACAGAATCCTTTTGACCCTCCTATCCCAGAAGAGACTTGCCTGTATATACCAAGTATTCCCCCTCCCCACTATTTCACAGTTGAGAGGGACCATTAGCTCACCCTTAAGCCTCCTACTCCTATTTTTTCTCTATGCAGTTTTCCAGACGCCTCAACTTCACCAAGATATGCATCAAGAGCTCAAAAAATAGCTCTTCTGGAAGAAATTGCAGGCATCATGCTTTCTGATTTCAAAATGTATTACAAAGTTAGAGTAATAAAAAATATGGAATTGTCATAAAAACAGATCAATGAAAACAGAATAAAGAGCCCCGAAGTAAATCCATGAATATATGGTGAATTAATTTACAACAAAGGAGCTAAGAATAAGCAATGGGGAAAGGGCAGTTTCTTCATAAATGGTTTTGAGAAAACCAGACAGCCACATGCAAAAAAATGAAACTGAAACAGTAACCTAATACAAGAAACTATTATCAGCAACAAGACAAGGATGCCCACTCTTACACTCTTATTAAACACTAGAGGCCTGATGCATGAAGATTCATGCAAGAATGAACCTTCCTTCCCTTGGCTGCCAGCACTGCCTTCGCTCAGGCTGGAGCTGCCTTTCCACCTTCCCATGCTGCCCAGAGGTCCGGAGCAGCTGGGGTGGTGTGGAAGCCTGAGTTGTCGCCATGGCAACAACACAAGCGTCTCACCCCCGGCTGCTTGGTGCCTGCGAATGCAAATTAACCTGCCATCTTTGTTGGGTTAATTTGCATACTCACTCCTGATTGGCTGGTGGGTGTCACAAAGGTATGGTCAATTTGCATTTTCTCTTTTATTAGTGTAGATAGTACCGAAAGTCCTAGCCAGAGAAATAAGAAAAATAAAAGTCATTCAAATTGGGGAAAAAAAAAGACTGTTTCTATTTGCATATGACACGGTATTTTATATCTTCACTAATAAAAGAAATATGCAAATTGACTATCACTTCACGATGCCCACCAGCCAATCAGGAGTGGGTATGCAAATTAATATCGCCTTCATGGAGACTGACCGCAGGGAGGAGGCAGCTCGGGAACAGGGAAGCACGGCCCACAGGCAGTCCCAGGATGGCTTGCTTGGCAGTCGGCTGCAGTGTGGAGCAGGCAGGCCCTGCAGAGAGCAGAGAACCACGGGGAGTGGGCCTAAGCCATCAGTAGGACATCACCAGATTGGAAAGGGTGCAGGTCAGGATGAGGGACATACACACCCCCCACCCCTGTGCATGAATTTTGTGCACTGGGCCTCTAGTATGTATATATTAGAGGCCCAGTGCACAAAATTCATGCACTGGTGGGGGGCGTGGCCTGCGGGGATGGCCTGCTGTGCGAGTGCCGCTCATCCTGGTCAGCAGAGCAGCGCTCCCACTGTGTGAGCACACTGACCACCAGGGGGCAGTTCCTGAATTGAGTATCTGTCCCATGGTGGTCAGTGCATGTCACAGCGACTGATAGAGCAGTAGTTTTGGTCATTCCGCCATTCGGTCGCTGGGCTTTTATTATATAGAATAGGATAATTCTAAAGACTCCACCCAGAACTGTCAAAATAAATGAATTCAGAAAAGCTGCAAGATATAAAATCAATATACAAAAATCATTGCATTTAAATACACTAAAAATGAACTATTAGAAAGAATAATTAATAACACCAGTTACAATTGCATCAAAAAGAGTAAAATACTGAGGAATAAATTTAAACAAGAAAGTGGAAGACATATACACTGAAAACTATACAAAGACATTTACTAAAGAATCTAAAGAAGACACAAATAAATGAAAAGATATTCTTTGTCATGGAAGAATTAATATTGTTAAAATGTCCATACTCCCCCAAAGCCATACACAGATTCAATGCAATCCCTAACCAAAACAGTATGGTATTGGCATACAAACAGACCCATAGATCAATGGAACAGAATAGAGAGCCCAGAAATACACCCATACATGTATGGTCTATTAATTTACAACAAAGAAGCCAAAATTATACAATGAGTAAACGATAATGTCTCTAATGAATGGGTTTGAAAAACTGGACAGCCACATGAATAACAGTGACATTGGATCACACAACATACACAAAAATCAACTAAAATAAAGATTGGAATGTAAGAACTGAAACCATAAAGCTCTTAAAGAAAACCATTAAGCTTTTGGACTTCAATCTTGGCAGTATTTTGGATAGAAAGCCAGATGCAATGGCAGCAAAAGCACAAATACACAAGTGGGACTATTTCAAACTATAAAGTTCTGTACAGCAAAGAAAACAATCAACAAAATAAAAAGACAACCTATGGAAAAGGAGAAAATTTTTGCAAATCATGTATCTTGATAAGGAGTTAATACCCCAAATACATACTCATATATTTTTATATAAACTTACACAACTCAATAGAAAAAAAACAAAAATGATTTTTTAAATGAGCACAGAATCTGAATAAATTTTTTACAAAGATATACAAATGACCAACAGATACCTGAAAAGTTGCTTAACATCACTATTGATCAGAGAAATGCAAATCAAAACCATAAGATATCATATCACACTTTTTACAATGGCTATCATGAAAAAGACAACAACTAACAAGTGTTGGTGAGGATGTAGAGAAAAGGAAACAATATACACTATTGGTAAAGATGTAAATTGGTGCACCCACTACAAAAACAGTATGGAGATTACCAAAAAATTAAAAACTACCATATTATCCAGAAATTCCACTTCTGTGTATTTATATGAAGGAAATGAAAACATTAACTTGAAAAGATATACGTACCCCCATTTCATTGCAGCAATATTTACAACAGCTAATACATGGAAGCAACCTAAGTGTCTACCAATGGATGAATGAATAAAGAAAATGTTATTTATAATATATACACATATTATAACATATAACTTATATAAAACATATATAATTTATGTTATAATATAAAGTGTTTATTACCATTAAAGATGTAAAAGTATGTCCAAGTTCAAAGAGCTGTTACTTGGCATAAGTGGTGATCAAATCTGATATTAAAGTTTCCTATCACATTACCAAGGATCTCTAAATACACAGTGTGGTTGGTATGCTCTCTCAATTGTTTATTTTTCAAGGTGAAAGAGCAATGTGGGAACTTGTAATTATTATGATTTGGGCCATTCCAAACATTCCTATGAAAAATTAGTCTTTTTCTTTCGATTTGGAATCTGAGTCACCTCTGTATCCTAAGGATATTACCACAGTAACTGATATTCATTGTATGTTTGTTGAAGGGTGATATGAACCTGAGTCATGATAACTGTAAAATTCATGCAATTCACACAGGAAAAAATTAATGTTGATTAAGTATAGCATATATGCTTATTTAAATTAGAAAACCTAAGGTAGTAATCTGGAAAGTACAGTATTGCATTTGGTTACATGAAATGGGCCTTCTTTAGAGGATAAAAAAAAAATGAGACTAATTATTCTCCATAAAACTTCTGCTAGAAACTATTAAATTTCTCCTAAGGAGAAATATTTGTAACCATTTAACATTCTATGTATGCAAACCCTGTGTCATACAGCTACACAATGAGCTGATCAACAAAGTTAATGTCAGTATCAAAGAGTGTATTTTTGTCTCTATTGATGATGCAGACCATCATTAGAAATTCATTATAAATGTACACTACTAAAATATTAAACAATCAAATGACCTGATTAATTATTTATAAGTAAAAGGGGGAAACTTCACTGGGTTCATCAACAAAATATTTCCATTGGCCTTTGAAAAGGAATTTTATCACTGTATTTCATAAGACCAACAATTTTCTGCAATATCCTGTTTTGGTTCCAGGAAGACACAGAGCCTATGACTGTATACCCAGTAAAAACTCTTCTCGAGAAAAAGTCAAGTTGATTGTGAGAGCTAATTTTTTGGACATACTAATGAAAAAATAAAACACATGCATATTCAAACATCACATATTTAATGTCAAAGAATTTGAATTCAAGTACAAAAATTAAACAACACATGATTTCAACATTAAATAACCATAACACTTATTACTCAAACAACTATACAGTGAATATCAAAAACACAAGTGAAGTATAACTATAAAAACCTTAACTATATTAACATCAAAATTATAATTTATTTCTATAACAAATTAACTAAAACATTAATAGTTCAAGGACCACAATGGTAAATTGCTTTTTTCTTTAGTACTGAGTAAAATTTGTATCTCTTTATCCCCTTCATTTCTTTCTACATAATAGTTAGATGCTTCTGGTTATATAACTGTTCTCATCTCTAAGACATATAGTGATCCTTGGT